TCGGACTACAGGTCAAACAACTTCTCGCATCCGACTCTCATTACAGCATCCTCCGTCTGTTCCGCACAAAGGTTAGCAGCCAAACATTCAGGATCAAGCGGTAAATTGTGTTAATTCTGGCAAGTCTCAAGGTGACTGTTATTGTGAGCAAGCAAAGGTGAGCTCTCGTTACCTGGAGGAGGAGACGAGCCAGCTAATCCACACGCAGCGGCTTTGATTCGGACACGGTGATTGGCTGACAAGGAGAAAGAAGGCGTGGCCGGTACCTGCACGTTAAAAACATGCATCTGAAATAGAAGAGATTAGGCTTGTTTGAGATGCGCCTCGCCTCGCCTGCAATGTAGTCGAGAGTAGGCGGCTGCAGTGAGGGGAGGAGTGAAAAAAGCGCAATAAAGCCGGACAGATCTCGGTTCTCGCAGTGAATCAGACATCTGTGAGATCAAAGGCGGATATCGCGGGATTAACGGGATTCACGCTCGTGCACGTGTTGCTAATAAACTGTTGCTTTTATATAAAAATAAATATAATGAACAAGACACCCAAAGTAGCCTACTTGTTATTTAATTACATTCCAAATATGTGTTTATCAATCTTTTTTTTTTCTTTAATACAGACGTGTTTTTATATAGCCTATTGTTTTAACAAAAATGAAATATAACCCATATGGCACTGTCAGAGAGTTTATTCACCCATATGTATACACATAAAACATGATATCAGTTTTAAAATCAAACATTTTAAAAGAGAACAATTCATCTGTTGTTCTTTTATTTTTATTTTTATTTATTTTACCTTTTTATTAGAATGCAAGTTTCAAACATAGCCTACCTACAAGCACCACAATTCGTGAAACAAATAGGCCTATTATACAGCGACAAATAAATAAACATCAGAATAAAATTAATAATAAAATAGCCTAAATAAATAAATCAAAATAAGCTTAGCTTAAATAGACAGACTTACAAACTTCATCATCTATAAAATGAGAGCTATTTTTCACTTGAACATTTTAGAGTAGGCCTAGTATATTTGAGTTACTGACTATAGCTTTCTTATTTTTAACCCGTTTAAGAGATTCACAATATCAGTTTCAATTTGAAAAAATAAATAAATAAATAAAACATGGCCTTGATTTGGAGAATTTAGCTTAATGAATATGGAATTTACCTTCATCACTGTTGTTTAAACCAATGAGCATTAAGCTGTGTCGTCAGCAAGTCGTTTCCCATCATGCTTTTGATCAGCGCAGTCGGTGGAGAGCAACTGCGCGCGACTGCAGAATCCGACCCTTCCGCCTTGCGCTCGCGAGAGTTTTTTGACATACGTCGGCATGACATCAGAGCCAGGCGGACCGTTCTCGGACACATTTCTAACCGGCATGCATCTCGCGCTGATCACCGGTGATCGATTCTGCGCAGAATTTGCTCATCTCAAACAAGCCTAATCATTCTGTTCGTGGGAATTTTTCATTAATTGCGCAATGACAAATAACTCGATAGGCGTTTTTATGGAAAATTTTTAAATGTTGGCTAATCACTAGTAAAAACTAAAACCAATAGGCCTACGGTTTGTTTATAGAGTAAAAAAAAAAAAAAAAAAAAAAGATTGATGATTGGAGAAGCTCAGCAAGGAGCGAGATTTTTAGGTCTGTACATTGGCAGATGGCAGAGTTGTCTATATTTAACCAAATGAGTATAATGAAATATCTGTTTCCATTGAGCGGTTCTTGTTGGGAAAGGGGAATGTTTGTTCACGTTTAGCCCTCAGTCTGAGCTTATCCAAATACAGCTATTGTTGACCAGCAGACTGATATTTGTGTGTTAGGGCTGCAAATAAAAGTGTCTGTTAGACTAACAGGTGTGGCTCTGTTTTAAAGTCATCAAATGTGCAGCTCCTTCTTTGCTTGGATCGAGGGGGGGATCTGGGATTGTTGTCGGATGGCTTGGGCTCAGCAGACCAATATAGCTATATAATTTCATAATTTAAGAGTAATTGTGTACGTGACATATCACAGATGAACAGGCTTCAACAAGACTAGAAGTGAGGTGAAATCTCCTAATGACCCACAGTTGTCAGTCATGGGAACTGAAACTGACACCTCAGTACATTTTTACCAACATGAAGACATTTTGAGAGAGAGAGGCATGCACACATACATTTATTATCAGTCTGTTTTTCATTTTTTTAAATTGCTTTCCCCCCTCTTCAATTTGCTTTTACAAAAAAGAAAAATCCTTATCACACTTCATGGGACATTTCACAGGAGGTGTGGCATGCCTGAAAAGAAAAATAACCTGTTTTGACCTGGAGAAACGCTTCAGCTTCGACCCGTCTGACAGGTAACGATTCTGCTTTGTTAGCAAAATGTGACAGTAGTTTATACATCACAAACACACACACTGAATTGACACATTTTACCAGTCGCGCCAGTCCAATAAAGGACAGAGACTTCTGGTTTGTATCCTCATGTTGTGTCTGTTAATTGTTATAATAATTTAAATGAAGATAATCTTTCTCATGCACCACCTTTTTGATGTGTACATGCTGTCTGTCACTTTATACAGCATATTAAATTCAATTTGATGGGAAGATATCAGCGAGCAATTTAGGACTAACCCTGCTGACTCACATGATTCACATGATGTCATCTGTTGCGTGAGCATGGGAACAAGGCCCGCCCCAATCTACAGAAACCAGTTTACAACAGCACACTCCTGCCTGTTCTCTATCAATCTCTCACTCCATGTGGAAAAAAACTATAACTTTATATATTTTTCACTGTATACTGTGCAAAAGTCTTAGTATTTTCACCCAAACAAATGCCAGCTACTCATATCTTTCGCTGTAGTGTGTTAGGAAATAGTTTACATTTCCATACATTACTTTGGACATTAGTTTTAATCCAGTGAGGTTTTTGTACGCACAAGGAGTCAGCCGGTCTCTGCTCCACACTGTGATTACAAGAAACAGAAACCCAGAAGAACTTGCGCAACGTCTCCAAGATGCTCGAGGAAACCGACCTTCAAAGCTGTGCAAGTTGTTTTAAACGCAAAGGGTGGTCACACCAAATATTGATTTGACCAAGTTAATAGAAGTTAATTGATAGGCATTTTTACACAACTGCCAAAAACTCGTTAGGTTAGGGTTAGGTGTTAGGGTTCAGGTTAGGAGAACAAGTAGACTTGTAGTTGCCAAGTTACTTACAGTCAGTAGAATATCTGTTGGGGGACCAACAAAATAAAGTGTTAGCAGATATTAAGCACACAGTCTACTGATACTCTAATGATAGTTAGTTGACATGTAGCGGCAAAGTTACTTATAGTTAATTGAATGTCTAAAGTGGACTATCGAAATAAAAATTCATACCCCCCATTTTGATTTAGCTTTAAATGACTTTTTTCACATCAATCTACACGGTTCACCCCATTACAAAGCACTGGAAAAAAAAAGAGAACTGTTATTGTAAACACTTATATCAACCTTGCAACATTAAAAAGAAGAAACTGAAATAATGATGTTGCATATTCATAGCCTTATCTGAGTACTCGGTTGAAGCACCTTTAGCTTTGCAGATGTGAATTCTTCAGATCCTCTGTCAGTTAGGATGGGGATCGTCAGTGGACAGACATCTTCAGGTTTCTCCAGAGATGTTCGACTGGGCCACTCAAGGACATTCACAGAGTTGTACCTAAGCCTGTGCGTTGTCTTATCTGTGTGCTTGGCATCATTGTCCTGAGGGAAGGTGGACCTGGACCAGGTTTTGATTAAGGACATATCTATATTTTTCTTTGGGGCCTGCCGCTGAATGGCTTTGTTTGTGCTCTGCTCCTATGCATTCTCAGACCCTTTATTGAAAGTTGTGTGCCGACTGATCCAAATCATGTCCCTTCAATTGAATTAGCCACAGGTTAAAGGGATAGTTCACTTTGAAATTAATTTTTGATATGTTTTAGCTTACCTCAAGGGCATCCAAGATGTAGGTGTCTTTGTTTCCACAGATATTTTTAGGTCAAACCGTTCTTGTCTGTCAGTCATATAATGGAGGTCTATGGGGTCCACCTCAAAGAGCATGCACAGAAAAGTCCAAATTAAACATGCTTTAATGACTCGTAAATGTAAGTACACATTGATGGCCTAAGACGCAAAACGAGCGGTTTGTGTGAGAAAACAAACAGCATTTATATTGTTTTTACCTCGTGTAACCACAGCCAAGTCCAACTGATCTGACGGCACGGGTGCTTCGGTCTGCGCATGCGCCGGAAGTGGTCGCTTGCGTGCGTAGGTCACTTATTGTTTACACAGAGATTTCCGAAGTTTTACCTTTCACTAAACATATTTAGATATATCGAAATCGTCTTCTATTGCGATTTCCCGTATATCTAAATATACCGCTCATTTCGTGTCTTAGGCCATCAATGTGTTCTTACATTTACGAGTCATTAAATCATGTTTAATTTGGACTTCTCTGTGCATGCTTTTTGGTGGACCCCCTTAGCCTCCATTATGTGACTGATAGACAAGAACGGTTTGACTGAAAAATATCAAAATTGAAAATACTGTGGAAACAAAGACACCTACATCTTGGATGCCCTTGAGGTAAGCTAAAACATATCAAAAATTAATTTCAAAGTGAACTATCCCTTTAAATACATGGTGGTGGGAAGAAGTGGACATTTCAGATTTGATTCATCACCCATCTAATCTTCCAGCTGTACAAAGACAGTGATATAGAGTAGCAGCGAGTCTCTCAGACATGTGTAATGTTTCCTCACTGAAGCCCCTGGGCTGGGCAGGACGTCTCAACTGCACTCACAACATCGGGAAGAATAAAAGACTTTCAAAAGTGATGGAATTTGACATGTGTGTCAAAGAAAAGTATTAAGTCAATGCTATTTTAAGAGTGGACAATTTTGCGGAGACAAATGGAATAGCAATATCTAGTCACTTAAACGAAAAGAATATTTTAGAATGCATAACTATACAAAATACAGTAGTGTTTATTTGCTTTTCATCCATTTGTGTTTACATTTTATTAAACGAAGCCAAGAATGCAACCACAGAAGGATTAAGGTGAATCAAATGTAACAATTAAAGAATCAACCAGTAAAAAAAAAAAAAGAGAGACATGTCTAAAAGTATAGCTTTATGCTTCCATGTTTAACAGGTTATTTAATTTTTTTTCTAGTGATAAAGTACGTGTATGAGACGTTTAATAAATAACACTGGATCAAACAAACTAATTAAAACTCAATCCATAAAAGCTCTAAACGGTTCTAAAAATGAATCACCTGACAGACCCCTTTAAGTTTCTATTTGGAGCCTTTTCAGTTATGACATCTTGTGGCCAAGGTGGGTACTACAACATTTCAACCACTTTTGGGGAGCTTCTATTAGTACCTGCCATTGAACATTTATTATTTTTTTTTTTCTAAAAGCAAATCAATGCAACAACACACTCCGTTCTCTCCAGATTTAATTTCTGCTCAATATGATAACCAAAACAAATTTCTATGTCTCAAATCTACAGTCACGAAATACAGATTACCATACAAAATCTACAAAATTCAACAATTACAAACAATTTGTTTAACAAATAACAATTGTACAGTATAAATTTATACAATACTGCATTCATATTTTTGGCACCTGACCACGATATAATTGTGATACAGAAATGTTACGTCAGATGTTTAAAAAGAACAAAAAAAAGAACGAAAAAAACTACATAAAATATGCATCGAACATGAAATCGAGCAGTTTTGACCTGCCACTTTTCTTTTTTCAATATTTTTACAAAACAGCAGTTGTTCAAAGATTAAAATAAAACGATAAAAACATTCAATTATGTTCATTAACAGTATAGCAGAACCAAATGCACTGCGGTGAGGCATTTGACGTTCACAGGGACATCAAAAACACTGAACATCAGCAGGAAGAGGAGGAGGAGTGTGGATCTCTGTGGCTTCGGCATGATTACTAAAAGCACGACAGAGGGTGATATGGGAACTATTAGGAGCTCTGAATAAACGCCGTCTACCTACCGTTGAATTCAAGTGAAATGGACACGAGAATAGGTACCACATGAGTGCAAGGGGCATTTGAAAAGCAATGGGGTCCTACACTGTAAAAATGAATAATAAAATTGTGGCAAAAGATTACAAGCAATATTATTAATTAAATTTAACAAATTAGAATTGAGAAATAATTAAATCAAATTAATTCCTTAAACATACATTTAAGTCACCATTATGGTGATTGGTGTTTGGTTTGTTTTAAAATTACGGTTTTCAATTTTACTCATTTTAAATGGTTAACTTTTAAGGAATAACTTGATTAAATATTACTCAATTCTAATTTGTTACATTTAATTATTAATATTGCTTGTAATCTGTTGCCACAATTCTATTGATTAGATTAGCATTTTTACAGTGTATTACCATTTACACACTTTGAGTGATTCAGTAAGAGGCTGTCAACAATTACATCTGTTCAAGGGGTGAACGGGACGCATAGTTAAAGTCTTCATAGTTAATGAAGAGCATAGTTAAACTCTCCAACATGTGAAGGATTATCATTTCAAAAGCGAGCAAATTTACTGCAACTTAAGCTTGATTAAAAAAAAAAAAAGCCATATAAAAACCACTCACCCACAGAAACATTGAGTGCGTTTAAGGCAATTCAGTAACTTGATGTTCATGTGTACAATCCAGAGATAAAGAGAAAAGTGATTCTAAAAATCAAAGAAGCTTTGAATCAATCAAGCTTTAGTTCTCGTTCAACGACAAAAACGTTCTGCGCCAATGCAAACGATGCATCACGACACCGATAACCAGGGTGAGCGAACAGGGCTGTAACTGATATTCACCACAACACGTGCATACAAACCACACAAATACTCTCCAGTCCACAAATGCAGATAAACTTGATGTTACATGCTTTTGCTAAAAAACATCAATAAAACCCATCGCTGCATCCTAAGATGGAACTCTTGAGTACACTTTTGCATGCGTACGCGTCTGACACTTCAGATTTATATACAGGCCTACGGTTACTAGAGTACAAACATTAGAAAACTGGAAAAAGAGAACGCAGTTCAATTCATGTCGTTTGAACGGTAGACTGTACGACCAAAACCAGACTAATCCACACTAAACTGAATGTGCGCTTCCAGCACTAATAAGGCTCTTCAGATCGGAAGCATAACGTGGGGAAACTTCCTTGTACAGTTACAAAATCTACATTGGTCCCATGGGATAATAATACTGTGATCTGCCAGAAAGAATCAGTCGAAAGAAACTAAACTATATGATCTAATCTAAATAAAGTTCAAAACGTCCCCGATATTTAGATCACTAAGGCTGAGGTGTTTAGACAAAAAACTAGTGATGCCACTGCTGTCACGTTTGAACAATGATTCAGGCATCGGTTTTAAAAAGAAAAGAATTCTCTTCTACTTATCTTAAATCCCTGTCTTGGTCACGCTTAAACTGCTGCATCTAATACTCAGAGAAAATAAGAATAAAACTATGTATTTCACATGACATTGAAAGCTCTATTCTAATCAGGCAGTGATTGGAGCTCAGATGAACGCTCTAGTTCCCCCGATTCACTCCATCACAGGCCTCTTGCAGAGATAGCACAGCCAATAACTGTGTGTGTGTGTGTGTGTGTGTGTGTGTGTCTATTACTAGATCTGGCCAAGCTCAGTCTGATGAGACCCAGATGCCCCACTCTGGAAAAAACACCTGACCCGCCATCATTTCCCTGCTGCGACTATATCAAAAACTAAATTAAAACCCATAAATAAATAAAAGGTTGACGCATGAGGCTGTTCTCAGAACTGTCCTGCACTGCTGGGGTCACACTGTAGCAGACGCACGATGGATGGGTCACTCTTCGCCCCTTTGATGAACTCCTCCAGAGACAGTTTTCCTAGAATAAAACAGGAGAGGACACAGGCTCTTAGAAAATCATATTATTTACAATGGAAAAATGACGGCTAGCTTTCCGATATCCGGCTCGTTGCGCCAGAATCTGAATCAACCTGTGAAAATATGTCTAGAGAAAAATGTGTTATGGAAATAATGGAAGAGGTTTTTTTTAGCTTATTAAATCTAATAAGCCTTCGGGTCTTGGGGTTTAAAAAAGGGCAGGATATGGTCTCCATTTTGACAGTCAAAAAACAAAGAAACATTCGCATTATAAGGTAATGTAAACTTTCATCTTAATCTCAAAATCTAATTTGACTTTGATTTGAAATGTGTATATAATAATAAAAAAAACATTATTTTAGTATTCATTTTATTGCAAGAAAAATGGCAAAATTGTAATATTGGATATAATCAGATTTTAAATATAGGGGCATCCCTAAAAACATGTAGTGATTGAAGTTCCCCAAAAGTGCCATGCGCAGCATTGGACAGCAGGGGGCGCTGCCGACTCTCAGCGTTCAAAAGTGAGAGGTGGCGAAGGAATGCGAAGAATCAAAGGACACGTGCGGACTGTTACCCAAGTGAGGAGTGATGAAATAGTACAGAACAGGTCCTCTCACACACATGTGATAACATTAGCATACAGCTCATGTCCTTGTAGCTCATGCATTTTGATAAAAACACTGCTACAAATGAACATGGTCCTATGTTTTTTCATTTCCTCCCTGTGATCAATAAAGTATCTGTCCGAGTGAGACCACGGTTGTGCTGCTTCCGCAAACAACTGCCCACAGATACACAAATATACACACAGTTTCCATCCCATGAGACTCTGGTCACGAGAGAGCAGGAAACGCAAAAGATCATCTGACCACTATTTCCACTCTCTTCTCTGTATACTCCCATTTGTTTGCTTGTTGATCTTCAATTTCCTGTACACGCACGTAGATAGTCTGAAGCCTTGTTTAACAGCTGATGGGGCTCTTCAAATCACTCAATCATGATGCATTTAAATAAGTCGGAGACTTTACATAGAGAAAGCATAGGGGCAGAATTTGTAAGAAAAAAAAAATATATATATAAACAAAAACAAAACAGGAAATTGTAACATTTAACATAGTGACACACCAAAATGTATTTTTACCGAAACCGGAAAACAGAAATCAAATTTAGAGTTGTATATAAATGTATACAAAAAAATAAAAAATAAATGTCGTTTTTATATATACTTTTTAATTATATATTATGTTGCTAATTTGGTTTTGAATTTTAAACATTTAAATGTTGGGTGTAATAAAACTGATTTTCAAACATACATTAAATAATGAAAAAAATTATTTATACAGTTTACTTAAACTGTATAAATAATTTTTTCATTGAATATCTAATATAGTGCAAATGAATATCTAATATAGTGTGAGCAAAATGCTCCTCTTTAGAGCTCCTTGTCTAATTAATGAGCTACTGTATGGACTAATGATGCTCATAATTAACCAGTTTACCGACTTTAAGAATTTTCAAAGACCACCCATGAAATTTTTCATAAACCACTGCCAAATAAATTTAATCCTTGATATTTAATACATTTTCCTTGAGCTTTTGACATTAGAAGAATATCCTATAAGTTTCAGAACTGAAAACGTCCTTGTTAGTCCAATAAACGCTTTTATTGACACCAGCCTCTGAAAACGACTTGTTTTTCAAAGTGGGAAACTATGACGACAAAGAGGATAAAACACCACCGCCACAGAAGAAGATCAACGCCTACTTCAACATGGCCGGTTTAGCCTCGCCCACCGATTCGCGCATTACACGCATAGCTAAATAACATAGATGCCTACCTCGTGATGAGAAACCGGATCGAGTGAAACTCATTATAATATGCAAAACTGTTATCCACTCACAGCAGTGGGTGTTTACTTCCAAGTCTTCAGTGCGAGACACCCATAAAAACCAAGCGTTTTTGAGCTGGGCTTAAAACTAGGGTAGAAAATAGTCTAATATTTATTCATTTTTATGTTTTTTAATGTAAAAACCAAGCGAAAGTCACAAGTTGACCTCAGACAACTATATAAATTTTTTTAAAAAGCCAGTTCATGACCGCTTTAATGAAAACGGGGGGAAAAAAAGGGTTTACCATCTCGGTTGGTGTCCATTTGTCTGAAGATCTTCTCTGTTCTCTTCTCAGGTGTGGACTCATCCTCTGGCATCTTCATCACTGATGACACCATCTTATAAATCGCCTGTGGGAAACACAATGCACAAGAGATTCCCTCTATCAAAAAATATTATCACATCACAAAATACAGTAATCTCATATATTAATGCTACAATCATCAGCATTATCATACCCCAACTGTGTAAAATGTGAAGTTTCAATGATGTAAGACACCACAATGAATCAAGCAGAATCACTATAACGAGGTGGAAAGCCTTAAAGGGTTAGTTCACCCAAAAATGAAACATTATCCCATAATTTCTCACCCTCAAGCCATCCTAGGTGTATATGACTTTCATCTTTCAGCCAATAACAGTTATATTAAATACATCCAAGCTTTATGATGGCAGTGAATGGTACCTTGAATGGATAGATGCACTTTTTTGGGCTTCAAAATCTATCAATATAGTAATCCATACGGCTCCGGAGGGTTATTGAAACGAAACGAAGCAACGCGTTTTTGTTAGAAAAATATCCATATTTATAACATATTTATGACCTCTGACCTGACATAGGGCGTAAGCTTAGCATAAGCTTAGGTGAGATTAGACACCTATCACGGTTTAAACAAACAAACTCAAGCTCCTGCGCCATTCTCTTTAAAAATTCTCGTTTTAGAGACTTCCAATTGGTGACCAGTGTTTTGTTTTGCTCTATCCACGTCGATACTTCCAGACTATAGACTCATAGATGAGAGAATAATCAGCACGTGACTGACTGCAGCGGACACAGACTCTACAGACAGCTAATGTGGCATGCATAAACATCATTTAGAAACATGTGCAGTATGATGATCTTCAAGGAAGATCATCAAACAAGTACTCAACTGAAAACGTTCAAGTAAAATATAATTGTATAGAACTTGTCAAAATAAATCCTGCCCCAAAGTAGCTTTATAGGAAATAGAACCTTACAAATATAATATAATATATATATTAGAGCCCGACCGCTACAAATATTTTTTGGTTTTAAAATCCGATATTCCGATATATCGGCCGATATTTTTTTTCTTCAGAAACGCGCAACAAAACATTAACAGATTTCCCTAACATTAGTTATTTGTAGTTATTTACAGTATGAGGTTTAACTAAAATAATATGATAATGCATTTTAAAAAGAAACTTTTATTGTCACAACAGAACAGACTGATAGTGGCATTAGCTAGCTTTGTGGTTAGCTAGTCTACGATGAGCCATAATTTAGCAATGGATAACGTCATACTGCAAATTGTAAAACATACATTTTCAGGCCTAGGAGAGATGATAGGTCTCATTGTTATAACTGTCACGCGCTATTAAAGAAATACTTCAGTCACATTGTCAAAAGTTAAAAGGACAGTCAGTCAACTACACTGTAACAACGTAACGTAACTATTGCGCGTTTCGTCCGTTTTTATTTTATTTTTGAAATATTCATATATCGGCCATTATAACTGCCGATACTGATAGTTTGGAAAATGCCTAATATCGGCCAATAACATCGGCCTGCCGATATATCGGTCTGGCTCTAATATATATTATATATATATATTTTTTTTTAAAGATTTTTGAGAAATATTTAAACAGTCTCTTATGGCTGCATTTATTTGATTAAAAACACACACACAAAGTGCACACACAGACAAAGCTGAATTTTCAGCATCACTAGTCTTCAGTGTCACATGATCCTTCTGAAATCATTCTAACATGATGCTCAAAAAACCATTCATTATTACTATTATAATCTTGAAAACAATTGTGTGCCATTTTTCTAATCAGGCTTCTTTGATGAATAGAAAGTTCTATTTCATTTATTTGAAATATAATCATTTGCAACATCATAAAATATCTACTGTAACTTTTGATCAATTTAATGCATCCTTGCTGAATAAAAGTAGTGATTTATTTTATTTCTCCCCCCCTCTACCCCCAGAAACACCCCAACCTTTTGAACAGTATTGTATGGCGTTACAAAAGCTTTCTATTTCAGATAAATGCTGTTCATCAAGGTTCAGCTGTTTTCAACATTGATAACAACAATGAATGTTTTTTGAGCATTAAATCAGCAGATTAGAATGATTTCTGAAGAATCACGTCACCTCTCCAATCGTGGCTCATTCCTCCCAGATCACTGATAATCTTTGGCTACCACTGCTTTCTTCAAACGCCACCAAATATTTTCTGCAAATCTGCAGACTGTCAGGCCACCCAAGAACGACTGATCCCTTAACCAAGTTTAACTAGATTTGTATGTATACTTTGGGATGTTCTGCAGGGAAGTCCATTAATCATCAAGCTTCAGTCTCTGCACCGAAAGAATCACCATTGCTGCCAAAATGGCTCGATTCTTCAAAGAATTCATGAAGTCCTTCATACAGTCAAGATTTCCCCCTCCCCATAACAAGACTGGACCACCTCAACGTTAGGGATGGGACGGTATGAAAATTTCATATCACGATTATAGTGTCCAAAATTATCGCGATTATCAATATTATCACGGTTTTCTTAAATTTAGATATAAAGTGTTCAAAATATAAAGTGTAAAAATATAAATATAAAGTGTTCAAAAAGAACTGATGCTCACACTGAAAACATTTCAACAAGTTTTATGAATGAAAATCAACAAACAACAAATAAACAAGCAGCTCTATGCAGTTTTTTTAAGCAAGATTCTATTCTATGGCATTTCCTTCTTTATAATGGCCGTCGTCAATAGCAACGCATTATTACACACATTGCGCACATCAATATCGCAACGGACACGCACTCGTTTAATTCAAATACAACTTGCCGGCCGTCTTGCGTCTCCAGATTTTGATTGTTTTGAAAATGAAATCAGAGTTGATTTATTGTTTACAGAGTTTGATAATATTGGTGTGATCATCTTGTCTGGACGATTGTTTTACTAAATGAATTTATAAACGGGTAAGATTTAAAACATTAGCTAAACTCATTATCAATTCAATATGTCCCTGTAATTATGTGGTAAAAATAAAATCGGTGTAATACGTTATGCATCTATACATTGCTATCCCTTAAAACGTCACTCTTAATAATAATCTTATTTGAAGATGTTCGTTCGTCGGCTCAAAGACACTTGCTGCAAAATTTTCTTCGCGGAAGCTTCACTTCTATTTCAAGTGAGTGACATAAAATGTTTAAACTCAAAACAACATTTCGTGCCCAATTGTTTCCCAGACCTAGTTTCGGTATTGAAGTCAAAGTTAACTTGCCTTGTGTTCGCTATACAACAGCGGGTGATGGCTACACAAGAAGACGACTCGGCAGATTTTAAGTGTTTCTTTTGGACAGTGACTTTTTGTTCTGCAGACAGGGTGACTATCCTCGATCAAGTTTCCCTCAGGACTTTTGTAAAAGCCTAACTATGACCACACTCCAGATTTGGTCCTCTTAAAAGGCTGAATCTCCCAAGCACGGTCACTGCCTTCCGCCATTCCTTCTCGAATAGTAAACATTGCGTGCGCCGCGCGGCTGCGTCAGACTGGCCGACAGGATTTACAGTGAGTTATTAAAATCGCGATAATCAAACACGGTTTTAATGATAATTGCATTTTAAACGATATTACTAACCGTCAGTATATTTTATCGAGGTTTATCGCGAAACCGGTTATCGTCCCATCCCTACTCAACGTTTGACCATAGAGATGATGTTCTTCTGCTCGTCAGCGTTGCCTTGTTTGCACCAGATATACCGCTGATCCATGGGCCATATAACTCCATAAAACATTCTTCCAGAAATCCACAGGTCTATCCAAATTAATTTTAGCATATTCAAGCCTGCCTTTTATGTTCTTCTTTGTCATTGTGGAATTGCCTCCTAGTGGTCTAACCGTAACCGAAGAATGTTACATTGACGCTAAAGGGTGCCATGTGCGTTGGATGTATACGCATTGTCAAAAGGATGTGAATGCGTTGAAATGTCATGGTACAATGTAAGGTACGAGTTACGAATCCTCAAACTTGGTTTGGTCTTAACAGGGCCTGTAGATCTGAGCAATAACTTGCGGAAAGCAAAGATAAATCAGGCCAATTGCATTAACAGCAAACATAACCATGTGGAGAAGTGCACTTTGATGAAAGCTTGTTTATCAGAGACAGAAATAAGACTCAGGCTTTCTTTACAGTATGGAGCTTCCTGACAGTCTCACACCACGGCTATCCTTGCAGCTAATGCACTACATTCTGCAAGTGAGAAACAACAACATATGCGATGTGAAAATTGGGTATAGCAGGACTCAGTTGGGTTCTCTTTTGTGTCCCCTTAAGCATTTTCTGATTTATTTCAGACTTAAGCAGTCATGGCGATGATGAAAAAAGCTTTAAAAGAGTGCCAACATTAAGGTAAAATCTTAAAAGCTTTAGGTAGCCTGACATACCTGCACAATCTCAAGCATCTCCGACTTGCTGATGTATCCATTTCCATCCAAATCATACATGCTAAACGCCCACTTGAGCTTTTGCTCCAGCTTCCCTCGTGACGTGACACTCAATGCAATTATGAACTCCCGGAAGTCTATTGTGCCGTCACCGTTCGCGTCAAAAGTACGGAACACGTGCTCTGCAAACTTTGAGGCGTCCCCATAAGGGAAGAAGTTTCCGTAGATTTTCTTAAATTCCTCCATGGAGAGGTTGCCACTGGGACAGTCCCGTAGAAAGCCTTTGTACCATTCCTGGATCTCATGCTCCGTAAAGTCTGTGCTCTCCAGCAGGTCCTGCATCACCTCAGGGCGGAGCTTGCTGTTCTGCTTCCCCATGTTTCAGTTTCACAAGACAGCGCTGGAGAAAGAAAGGGAAGAGAGAAGATGAGCATAGATGGAAAGCTCTATAGATTCAAGTTTACATAGTGTTTTATTATTTTGGTACCCTAATCTGCCTTGATCTTTTATGCCCATAAATGCCAATCATCCCAATTTATTTGTGGCACAGTTAAGAATGTAATACCAGGCCTATTTTGAAGAAGTGCCATCATTCACATTTCAATAGTGTTCATTCAGTACCCTACAGCAGGGCTCTGAACTGGTTCAAAGAACAAGAACAGAACAAACAAAACAAAAACAAATTTAATCGTAAATATAATGAAATTTCCATTTTGTTTAATTGTACCGTTAAAAATCATAAATTGAAATTCCTTTGCAAATGTGACGCATCCAACGTGGGCGAAACGCCCGAGCTCAGTTGTCATGAAGTTGCAATAGCAATGCGCTGACTTTAGATTTTGGATCTCAGGAGGTTTTTTTTTTAGGTTACTGTACTATTCAGGAAATGATGGAAAAAAAGCAACCTATTGAAAAAATTTAGCATTAATGTATGGTCAGACAACACAATAAATTGAACACCAAATATTCAGTCACTTGGTGACCTGCAGCAGGAAATTCACCGTCCCAACACTTAAACTAGTCCCCAGACTAAAATGCATGTTTGAGTGGTTTTAACTGAAAGCAACTTGCATTGATCTACTTTAAAATATGTCAGAGCCATTGTTTTGTCTCAAGATGCACCTGTAATTTTTTTTTCCAAAGGCATGGTTATAAAAGCTACTTAAATATCCTAATTGAACTAAGGTCTAATCCTGGGTTAATCTAAGCCCTGTTTGTGAAACCAGACCTTCACGTGTGAATCAATGAGGCCTAATTTTTCCACAATACCCAAACAAACCAGTCACTGAAATAGTTACGGTATCAGGCCATCAAAAGCCAGCGGCTTCAAATGTTCTAATTCAGAGAAATGTGTTCTGCCTCTGATTTCCTCATCAGGGATGTGCCCCTGGGATGTGTCAACCAGAATGTTCGGAAAGGAAATTATGCACTCTATGGATCTGCTAAAAGCACATGGTGATGGTAAAAAAAAAAAAAAAATTATAAAAAAAATTTTTTAATTATTTTTGAATGTTTGTGTTCCCTCAAAATTATATAGTCGGGTAATTAAACTTTATAATTTAAGGGCATCAGAGAGTCACTAATTAATTAGGGCTGAAACGATTCCTCGAGTTACTCGATTACAAAAATTCCTTGAGGCAAAAAATCTGCCTCGAAGCCTCGTTAAATTCCTATGACGCGCACTTTACGCGCATGCAGGGAACTGATTATTTCACACGGACCGTTGTTCAGGAAGCACACCATAGCACATCATACATTTGACTTCATAAATGGCAGAGAATGTCTAAAGTTTGGGATATTTATATGTTTATAAAGGGAGAGAACAAGATGCAATGTGTCTGCAAAGTATTGAGAATGAGGAGTTGACGTCATTGTACAGAGCCCCTCCCCTTTCCGCCATGTTGGTAGGATTCCCACGACAAAACAGTATTGATTAAATGTGTTTTTAGCTCGGTAGTAGAGGAGTTTCTCGCAATACCGCACTGTTTTACCATGCCTGGAAGTAACTGCTGCGTTAAAAACCGATAGAAACCCTGGTAACCGATAGCGTCACCTACCATCATGGCCGACCGGCTCAGACCCCGCCCAAATAGGCACGTGACTCCTCATTCTCAATACCTGGCAGGGCTGCCAACTCTCACGCATTCAGTGTGAGACTCGCGCAATTGAGCCAATTCTCAGTCTCACGCCATACCCCCGATTTCTCACGCTGAAGTGTCAATCCCTTCGGTCAAATGCCTGAAAGATGAGTTTGTCTATAGATCTACCCGTTGAGCCACTCGTGATCGACTAGTTTTACCGCCGCATATTAATTCGCAAGTTAAATATCTTGTAATCTAGTGCGAGCGCGCATGCGAGATGTTGAGCCCCTAACCGTGGCTGGTGCACGACGGCAGAGCGAGCGCGTGCACCCATGTCTCTCTCACGCGCCAGTCAGACCAATTGCGGCAATTCATCATATGCTTAAACTTTTATGTAGCCACGCAACAAAAATTTCAGCATACATTCACTGTATACACCGGGACGTGATGGAGGAACAAATATTGTGAGACACACACACACTCTGATGTTTGTCTTGAGATTACAGTTGAATAAGTCTGATTCCATTTTTTTTTTTATAAATTGTGTATACATTTGTGTACCTGTTTGGGTTGATATTTTATATTAATTTATTTTTGTTTCCAGGTGGGTAATTTGCAGAAGGTGCAATCTTTTTTTGTAATGTTGTATTAAGAAGACAAAACTAAGGCCAAATGGGCTTTACTATTTAAGTTTGTATTCAAAGTTTTACATGTTATGGGCTACATGTAACAGGTTTTACAGCAAATTGTTTTAACTGTATTGTTATATAATTGTTGGCACTGGCACATAAACACTTAATGGGTAAAAATTGCAATAATTAGTTGTGGAGCCAAATGTTGGAGTTGGAATAAATACCTCTATTTTTTTAAAGAAATAAAAGCCAAACACCTTATCATTTTCGTAATGCATTATTTGTTTCGGTTGCTTAAAAACACACATAAACAAATCATCCGATTACTTGATTAATTGATTGATTAAGTGCTAGATTAATCGATTACAAAAAGAATCGATAGCTGCAGCCCTATAATCAATACACACAGGGTACTGAAAAAGGCTTTTGAATGCACGCTCACTTATTACTTTCACTTTCCAATTTGCGATCATATACTGTGTTTAGGGAGTAGAGTACTGACCACACATTTTACAATATATGATATTTATCAATGACGCTAAGGATCTGTTGTGCTCCAAATCCCCCGACATCGTGATAAGTGAAATATGATGTACTGTAATGCAATCAACAACCACAGCAAGCTTAACAATGTGCCTTTAAGGGCTCACAAATGATGGTTGTGTACAGGCACTGAAAACACACATTGCAGTACAATCAACTTGTAAAAGTGCGTGTACCATTATATGACCCCTTTAACCCTGGTCCTGCAGGACCCCCAACACTGATTTTTTAAAGAAGTCTCCTCTTTCTGACACCCATTTCAGGTCCTGGAGTTTCTTCTAATGAGCTGACGAGTTTATAATCAGGTATAGGGAGACAAAAGAAAATTGAAAAACAGATTTGATTCTTAGCTGCAATTCTGCAGTAACTAATCCAACAATGAAAACTTTTCAAAACATTCACACCAATTGACCCTTGACAGGGAGTTTGATTGAGAGGCGATCTGACCAATCATTATCCGACATCCTCTGAATCTGCCATTTTTGTCTGACAAAGCAGTCAGGAGAGTTAGTAGATTAAACTGGAAAAACGCGGTCTTTCCGCGGTTAAAACAAAATTTTTTATGTTCATTCATGTTTAATTTGATGCTATAAATTAACTAGAAGGAAGAGATGATCGGTTCACAAGCAGCTTTAACTGAGGCTCTACAGCGATCTGTCCGACACATTAAAGAGCCACAAAACTGTATTTATGGTTTAAATTTCCTAAAAAAAATGACCAAATTTGAAAGTTGAGACTTTGTTTCATATCGTAACCGGGTCTGTCCTGTCTGTCTGTGTCCTCTCTGCTCTGCGATGTATTTTTCACTGTGTGAGAACATGGTGGGGAGCGAGAGCGCCGATGATTGTCGGACATAACAACAGTAACTAAAGGGGGCGGGTCTTTGCGAACGGTCAATTACATCAAACAAGAAGACAAACTATGAACTATAACTGTAAAGCCATACACCAATTACTCTACCCAGTAATCCATTTTGCAAAGCAGCATCATCATCTAAAGATTACGTTGTGGGGCTCCATAATTAAACCAGATAAACCGATTTTACAAGACAAGACACCTTTTATCATGCAACCATAGACCCCTAAAGATGTTCCCTTTCTGCAGAATGATAATATACAAAAACTAAAGTTAAGAAAAAAATAACAAATCATCAACACTAGGACACTTTCCTCTGTATTCACACTGCTTCTAAAGGCTCGATGTTTAGCTCTGGTCATTTGGGAGACAATAATATACAAGACTTCAACCTCAATATCTCAAAGTACTTGAGTTTTTTTTTTCTTTATAAAGGTGCAATAGCTAACTACACATTTCATGATTTAGTATCAGACAAATGAGCCAGACCATAAATAAAACCATGCCAAAACAAAACCAACAAAGACATTCTGATAAATCTAAGAAGGACAAAACATATCTAAACATAAATGCCTAGCATTTAATAAAAACGGCAAAACAAAAATGAAAAATGTGTCCATGAGACCGGTCATTCACAGTCCCCAGCTGTAGAGCCTCCATTCAGGCCGGAAGGTCTGGAGAGCATCAGCTGTTACGGGACTTCTCCATATGCAGGAACTGACTCCCGTTTCTCATGTGGGTCATGGATCTTTGGACTAATCAGACAACTGTTTTACTAATGTTCTAGGCAGATGCAAGCACACAAAACAATACAGTGTAAAATATAAATACTTTTAAATGAGCCGAATGAATCGTGCTATACCTGAGGGGTAAAGGTTAGGGCAGACGAGGAGATGGTGTCACTGTTTGATTAGAAATGGAGTCTAGCTCTTCAAACTTAAGAACACTTGTGTGGGTCAATAAGAAAAGCAGTTTAAGGTCTACAAGTACACTCCATCCTGTCTCTGCTGTTTGGTATAATGTAAGGTAACACCTTATTGCTGTAGCGCTTTCATAAAACTTGAAACGAAAAAAAAAAAAAAAAAAAAAAAAAAAACAACCAACAACCCTAAAGCAGACCAAAGAATTTCATAGCAATTTCATCATGGAACAGGTGCCATGTAAAAAAAGGTCCACATTCACACTGGGCTTTGATTCTGACAATAATTGGCATTAAATTACCATCAAATTACCAGACAGCCTCCTGTATGAATGCAAACCTTAGCATTGAAAGTTTTCTGAAGTTTATA